AAATGTACTACAAATATTCCAGTACTGATGACACTCTAAAAACATTTATAGATTATTTATAAAGTAATATACCCATCTTGAATACAACGTATTCAAGATGGGTATATTATACAAACTATACCCATCTAAAATACCAAGTATTGTTGTTTTATTTTTAAAATAAACCTACAATACTTGATGGTAAATTAGTTTGTATACTGGGTATACAGACTAATATACCCATCTAAAATACCAAGTATTGTAGTTTTATTTTTAAATAGAATTTGTTACATTGTTAAATAGATTATATAAAAAGTTTTATAGTTTCTTTTTATGACAATTTTTCTTAAAATTAGTTTAAAAAAATAAGTTAAAAAAAGTCTATTTTTTACTTTTATTAAAAACTACTTTTATTTGTGAAAATTAAAAATTTGCATAAAAACTTATTTTTATTTTACTATGTTATATAATTATTCATTTTATTATATTATTCAGTAAAAATACTTTGAATATAAAAAAAAGTGGAGAACTGGTTTTGATACTTTCATTCTCAATAATAAAAAAATATTTTCAAACTTGATAGCCTCTATACCATTGAAAATACGATTAAAAAACAGTATTGATAATTGATATAAAAAAAGGCAAATCAAATCAAATATGGCATATCAAATCAAAGCAGAAAAGTTATTATGCTAATTGAACAAAATGGGAGAGCTATGTAGTGGTGGTTATATAACAAAAAACAAATTTGAATTAAAAATCTAAAAAAGGTTTTTTTTCTCTTATGAAGACATTATTTCTTAATTATTAGAGAACAATGTATTTGCATAACAGTTTGCACAGTAAATGTAAGACAAGATCATGGGGAGATAGCTAAGCGCATAATGCATAATTAAAATAATGATTTCAATCATACATAATAAGCATAATTTATAACCTGTTTCTACAGAATTATTGTTATCATTAAAACATTTTTTATAAAAGAATAAATAGAAGTGATAAATGATGTAATAATAATTGCAATATATATACAAGTATAGGTAAATGTTTAATTTATGGATCATAGATTATACATTAATATATGCTTAAATTAAAACTATTGAAGTATTACTATAAGAAATAGTATAGCACTAAATTATCATTTAAAAAATTTTCCCTAGTTTTAATTTAAGCATAGTCTATAGTTAATGTAAAATCTAAGGTTACCAGATTAATGTATAATCTATGGTCTTTTAAGCAAAGATTAATTTATAATCTGTATTTAATTTAAAAATTAGTACCATGCTATTAATAATAGTATGGTATGTGTGGTAGTATGGGCCATACTACCACACATCATAGGTAGTATATAGGTGTGTATGCCATACTGTATGGCGTACTACCACACACCATACCATACTAATAATAATAATATGGTACTAATTTTCCATAATTTTAACAGAGGATTTTGTCATTTTTAAAAATACATTTTTTGAAACGAATAAATACTTGAACTAATGCCTATCTATCAGGTATTTACTAAGGAAAGAAACTATTTTATTTTAGAGAAAAACTACTACTTCACATTTATCATAAATATTTTATGGTATAGAAGATTTATGCCAAACATAATTTCGCGGACAAATTTGTTCGAGAAATTAGATTTAACTATCTAAAAACGGCACATTACATCTTAACGACAAACAAAACCAAAATGACCATAGAAACTATGAATGAATCATAAGAAAATTCGGTAAAAACTATTATCATTGATAGACATTATTTGTACGCGCGTATAACTAATATTTTCTTTATTGTACGCGCGTACAACTAATTTTTTCTTCATTGTATGCGCGCACAACTAATTTTTTCTTCGTTGTACGCGCGTACAACTAATTTTTCCTTCGTTGTGTTTTTACAATTAAAGTTTTGAAAACTATTATTATGACATCGTCATTTTTTGCTAAAATTTTAATATCTTAAAGAATTTCGTTATTTTATTCATTGAATTTTCTGGAAATCTCCATATTATGATTGTCATGCAGTCATTAATATTTTTTTCATTTTGATAATGATATCTAGCGTTTAAAAATAAAACCCAAAAAACCCTTAAAAACCAAAAAACCCAAAAACCCACTTTCTGAAATAATAAAAAATGGGTTTATTCCAGCTATGTATTTTTTTATTCGTTGTACGCGCGTATTTAAACATAAATTATTATAAATTATTTTGATGATTTTGTTTGAAATTCTTGTTTAATTTAACTTAATAATTTTTTAAAAAATTATTAAGTTAAATAAAATAAAAATATTTAAATATTTATTTAATTGAGTTGATAAATTAATTTAATTTGTATAAAATTTTATAAAAATTAAATTAATTTATAAACTCAATTTAAATAAATATTTAAATATTTTTATTTTATTTTAAAGAATGTCTGCCCAAAATTTAACCCTCAGTTGATATATGTACACTTCTGAATTTTCTGCATTTCCGCATTTTTTTTTTTTCCTGCAAAGTAAAAGAAAGAATTTGGAAGCGTACGTTAGCAAATGACTTTTACGATCATTTTGTTGTAATGAAGCAACAAAAAAAAAAAGAGCAAATACCATTAGGGACGTTAAAATATAGTATAACTTTATTTTTATATTGTAAATTTAACATTTGTATTTCATACAAAATTTATACAACTAATTTGCAAAATAATTATAATTATAATTTTTTTAATTTCAAATATTTTTTGTTGTTGTTGTTTCCGTTTTGTATTAAAACATGAGATATGTTTTACTTGTTCACTGTCGTTATGCAAGAGATCTTGGTACAAGGTTGTAAACTTTTAATTTCAAAAATTGAGCCTTTGTAAAATTCTTATTAAGGGTAATGACGCTAAAAGTTCTAAAGATAATTTTTGATAGAAGATATGCTTTGTGTAAATTTATTATCTTTTTGTTTAATTTTAGAAATTTACATGAAAAATTAGTGATAATTATGCATTTAATGATCGCCTAATAATATATCATCCTTTTTTATTATTATTATTATTATTATTATCTGTAGATGTTGAATAAAAAACTCTGGGTGCAAATTCTTTATCAAAGCAGATTATGTTATTACTAAGTAATAGCATTATTACTAGTTACATTATGTAATACATGTCTTGTTTTGAGGAAAATAATGAAAGTTGTTTGACTCAAGATTTTCAACATAATTGAAATTCAAAATGCTCCATCATTATTCAGGGCCGACGATACGGGTTTTGAAATGGGGGGCAAAATCATCAATTTGTGAAAAAAGTCCTCTATATCAAAATTTTTCTTAAAAAAAAATAAAGTTTCTTTAGAAAAAAAGTGGAGGGGGGGGCTTTGCCCTCCCCCCTTGCCCTCCCCTTCCCCCCTCATTATACAACTTTGTTTTCAATATTTTTTCCCCCCTTATTTAGAATAATGACGCTGAATTATTATATATATTTTTTTGTTCCAGGTTACCTAAACTATAAAAAAAAATCAATTGACTAGAGTAAACAATTTGTTAATCTTTTTTTTTTTTTTTTTTTTTTTGTTATTTAGGTGCCTCAAGAAGACCTAGCCACAGAGCACCGCGGAAGTGCGTTTAACCAGGAAGTTTACGCCTCCTTCCTTACCGTGACGCGAAAAATGTTCAAAGCTTATTTTGAACCTGGATCTCCTGCTTATAAAGCAAGCGCTCTAACAAATGCCTCAAGACCGCACAATAATTGCATATTCCAAGTTTATTACAATATATTAGGAAGTTAACTAATTCGTATCCAATACCCCGTTTATAATGACGATAAACACGTTTTATGTTTTTAATGTTATAGACTTTACAAAACACCAAAAAATTTAGGTGATGAAGTTGTTTTAAATCAACACAAGCTGTTTATAAACAACTTTGCAATATTATTTTATTGTTGTTTTATGCAGCTTTTATACAAAAACAATTTAATACATTATTAAAATAAAACGTGTTTTATCGTCAGCATGAGGTATAAAAAAATAAACTCTGTGGTTCAAAATGTTTGTTACCATATTGTAAATATTTAGACAATAAAGAGTTTTTTTTTTTAAAAAAAAAAAAAAGCACTTATTAAATTAATTTTGTCCTCCCCATGTCTACTATCCGAGGCACTATGTTTCGATTCAAAATAAAAAGTTTAGGAGAAAATGCAAGTCAAAGTCGTTTGTTCAAATATTGTTTTAAAAATTATACAAATAAAAAGTTTTTTTATCGAATTTCTCCATAAAAGAAATTGATTTTGTTATAACTATTGATAGCTCTTCAAAGATGGCAACTCTTCAAAGATGGCAACATTTAACATCAAAATTATTATTAATGATGTTACAAATTAACTAACGTTACTGAATGTCGTTTAAATATTGTTATTAAAGCCGTTACAATAGTTCTGTAAATACTTTAGAGATGCGCTGGTTAACCGATTTTGTTCCGTTTTTCCGGCTGTTTTTTCCGGGTCAAAACCGAGTATATATATATATATATATATATATATATATATATATATATATATATATATATATATATATATATATATATATATATATATATATATATATATATATATATATATATATATATATATATATATATATATATATATATATATATATATATATATATATATATATATATATATATATATATATATATATATATATATATATATATATAATAACCCTGTGTATGTGTTTTTATTTTTTAGGTGCCCCAAGAAATTTTACGGTTTTTTCACAGAGCACGGTAGGCTCTCTTGTCAAACCGTTATTCCGACGCTGTCCTCAAGGTCCGAAAATGTAAAAAAACGACTTTTTCATTTAAAAGAGAACCTGCCTACTCCAAACCCTCAGTCATTGTTTCCACACTCCACTGCATGTTTTCTCCAAAAATCAGTCGGTGTATGTGCACACCGCAGCGCAGATCCCTATATACCCCATTTCACCTATTTTCTAGAAATACAAGCTCACGGACGCAAAGGACGCTCAACGTCGGAATAGGGGTTTGACAAGAGAGCCTACCACAGAGCACATACGGAAAAGCATTTAATCGGAAGTTCACGCTTAATTTATTTTTAATTGTGGGTATCCGGTAGTTTACCTGGATACCCACAATAAAAAACAACCGAGTGTTTGGCCTCTTTATTTTCCGCCGGAATATATAGATTTGCCGGGTGTCTGGTTTGAACCTCAAAATACCATGCCGGTACACGGGATATTTCTATTTAAACTAACTGAAGGTTGTGAACAAAAAAATCGGACGTTCTGATCAATTTTACATCATTTAAGTTACACTAAAATATTTCTTAAAAGTTGTTCACAACGTGTGATTTTATTATATCAAGTAGTGAATTTATTATTACTGAATTATTTTTTAATTATTTCATGAGGCGCTTAACCAAATAGTTCTTATTTGTTTTCAAGCCTTTCATTCCGACTTCTGTTCCGACTTCGACTCCGGTAAATATACTTTGTTACGTTCCTAGTGTAAACTTCGAAACTAAGCTTCAAAAATTATTATTAATAACATCATGTGTTAATTTAGGATTTATAGACAAATTTTTTGTAATTTTTATATTAAAAATTATGCGCTTAGTTTAGACATATCCAATTACATTCCAATTTTATTTTATTCAATTTTGAACATTTTTGGAATGTTTTTTTCACAATATTCAAACAACTAAGATAAAATAAAATATTAACGTTGAAAATATACGTTTTATATTTTTTACAATGATTAATTGGTTATGTTTAAACTTTGACCAACCATCTATCTATTTATTATGATTTGTTCTTTATTAAACTGAATTAATTTTACTAGTATTCTTATGATCGCAATTATAAATACTGCTATTATTGTTATTGTTGCTGATGTTGTTATTAATTGCCAAATATTAATAATTGCTGTTAATAAAATTATTTATGTTACAATTTAATTCACGCACACGTGTGTTATATATCTAAATGTTTCTTAGATATACGCACTTATATCATAAAATCTTGTTTTTTACTAATTTATTACTGCTTTTTATATAGAAATATTTTTTATATAGAAATATTTTTTAAATAGAAATTTTTGTATAGAAATATTTTTATATAGAAATATCTTTGTCAGTACATTGACAAGATTTATAATTAAGATTCTGAACACTTTTTCAAATATATATATATATATTTTTGACAAAGTTTTTTTGTTGCATTTGAAAATTTTAGTTTATTAGTTAGTGGTTATTTAATAGAAATTTGCTCTTATGACAACATTCGATATTGCTTTTTTCGTTTAATTCATCATTTGTATTTTAGTATAGCAAATTTATCAGTTTTTAAATAAGCATAATGGAATTTTTTTTATAATGTTACTTTATGAGGCTTTGCTGTTATACTCTATGAGGCTTTTTTAATGATTCATCATATGAACATCAAACAATCATTCAAAGAACAAGAAATTACAAAAAAAATTAAAAATAATTTGTCAATTATAACATGTTTAATCATAAAAAGTTCTGACCTAATTTACCAAAAGTATATATATATATATATATATATATATATATATATATATATATATATATATATATATATATATATATATATATATATATATATACATATATATATATATATATATATATATATATATATATATATATATATATATATATATATATATATATATATATATATATATATATATATATATATATATATATATATATATATATATAAGTTTTTTTCACAACCCTATCTTATTCTTTTAACTCTTAAATATAAGCTTTGATAAATAAAATCATTGTGTGGAGAAACAATTTAAACACAGTACTACCAGGGATGTGGTGGGGATTGAACTTAAAACGTCTTGCTTACAAAGCGAGCATTCTTCCACTACCACATAATAACATATATCTGTGTATATTATAAGCAGTTAGAAACATGGAAAGCTCTTGTTGTTCTCCAAGATGCAAAGTTGGTCCCTCTATTCTTAATACCGATTTATCCCAATTGGCTACAGAGTGTGAGCGTCTCATTGAAAGTGGTGCAGATTATCTTCATCTTGATGTCATGGATGGACATTTTGTCCCAAATATTACATTTGGAGCTCCTGTAGTAAAGTGTTTACGAACGCAAATTACAAAAACTTTTTTTGATATGCATATGATGGTTGCTGATCCAAAAAAATGGATCAATGATATGCAAGATGCTGGTGCAGACCAATACACATTTCATATTGAAGCAACAGATCAACCTGCTAATGTAATTCGAACAATAAGAGAAACTGGTATGAAAGTAGGCATTGCAGTTAAACCAAAAACTGATATAGAAGTAATTTTACCTTATATAAAGGATGTTGATATGGTTCTTATTATGACAGTGGAACCTGGATTTGGTGGACAAAAGTTTATGGCTAACATGATGCCTAAAGTTGAACTTGTGCGTGAAGCGTTTCCGTTTATAGATATTGAAGTTGATGGTGGTGTTGGGCCAAGTAATATTGAAATTGTTGCCAAAGCTGGAGCTAACATGATTGTATCTGGTGTTGCAATAGTAAAGAGTGAGTTTCCAAAACAAGTTATAAGTGAAATTCGTGATAGTGTTAATAAATATATGCCAAAAGTTGAAAAAAGAGTGACTAAGAATGTTTGAACAATGCTAAATGTGAGATTATTTAGCATTGTTATGCTATAGGAAAAAAAAAAGGTGCTGGGATGGTTTATAATTTTTGAAAAGACTTCCAGATGGCATCACTTCAAACACATAATAATATCTGTGCATATACATAAAAGTTTGTTGTTTTAATTTTTTTTTGTTTTTAATTTGTTCTGTTGATTTTTAGATTTTTTGTTGATTTTTCTGATTCTGTAGATTGTTAGAATTTTTTATTTATTTAGAATTTAATTAAACAAAACTTAAATTATCTCTTCATTTCTAAAATCTTAGCAAGTATTCAATTTTTCATATACATTTATAAGCTGCATAACATTTAATTAGTTTTTGTGGTTTAAGTGGAATTTTATACCATTGAGGATTTTAAAACAACTATGTATTTTAGTAAAAAAAAAAATCGGATTTTTTTTTAATTTTTTGTATTTTATGAGTTATTACTTAAATAGCTTCACTGTAGAGTGACAATTTTATGCGAAAAGCAGTCAGCGGACACAGTTGTCCGTGGGATATCTGATTTTTTATTGACGTTAAAAGATAGTAAGACGTCATTAAGACGTTCTGTACCCGCCGGGCATCGTCCCTACAGCGTTATCTTTGATTGGCTAAATAAATTTAATGGGATGACACAGTTTGTTGACAAAAATATTACGATCGATTAGTTATCGGTTAACCGATCAAAAATTAGAAATGTTACCAACGGCTAACCGATGTTTAACCGATATATCTTTTATACACATTTTTTCAAAACTCCATTTTAAATAGGGTAACAATTTTTTATATAAATTACACTATAGCATATATAGCTGGTGAAATATTTTTTTTGCTATTCTCAACTAAATCTATATTCATCGTTCATTTTTTAATTTAATCTCTTAACATTCAACAATGGTGGCCTTATAAAATTTGTAAACCCCTCAAATTGAGGTGGGTTCAAACTTTTAATGGTTATAGTTTTTGAACAATAATAGGATATTATGAGAATTTTAAAACTTATCGACGAATATAGGTTTAGTTAATAATAGTAAAAAAAAAGTATTTTATTAACTTGTTGCTCTTACGTATGGGGCAGGTGTGGCAAAAATTTTAAGGCTTTTTTGTTTCCAGGCTTTAATCACCGCAATTTTTTGCAAAGTATCCTTTTCTAACTTAAGTATAAGCATAAAAATTTTTAGTGTTAGCTCCATGTCTAGACGTTAGCTATCTCAGAAAAAAAAATGTTTAAGATTAATGCTATTAATATATATATATATATATATATATATATATATATATATATATATATATATATATATATATATATATATATATATATATATATATATATATATATATATATATATATATATATATATAAAAAGTTGAAAATCTTTAAACACTCTTTCCAAGCGTTTAAAATTACCTCTTCCGATAAAATTTGAATTTCTGCTGCGAACCCAATTGAAGGCTAACTTACATTAGCTTTTAATTGGGTTCGACCCCTAAGTTTTATCCCCAGAGTCACTCAATCGTCATTTTGCTCAACACATTCAGCAACTCTCCTTCTGTCATTTGGTGAAGATAAAACGTAATGTTTTCTTTTAACTTATACGTCTGCATGTATTCCATGCCGATAAAATGGACAAGGTGGTTCTGGTTTTTCCAGAAGTGGATGTAAACAAATTTAGTGAAATAAATGCTTGCACGGATTCAATTTAATAACAGACTTTGAGTTCATAGTGTATTGACAAATAACACAACAATCTTTCAATTCCATTACCGTATTGCTGGTGCATACAAATGCTAAATTTGTATGCACCAGTATTGTAATACAAATATTACTAACTTATTAAAATGCATGTCCTAAAAGACCTTTAAGCTTACATTGTGAACCCGCAATTACAAAATAATGTATTCTCTTTTAGATATTGCGATTTCTTAATTACAAATTTCGTTTTTCTAATTACATATTGCGATTTCTTATTTACTTGTTGGGTTTCTTAATTACATTTTAAATTTCCTAATTACATGTTACTTCTAAATTACATGTTGTGTTTCTCAATTACATCTTACTTTTTTTAATTACAACTTTCAAGTTCTCAATTACATTTTGAATAGGTGTAGTTTTTGCTTTTTGATATTATTATTTAATAACCCAATTATTTTATGAACAAATTAATAATCGATGCCAAATTATAATATTATATTAGGTGTTTCTACATTAACCCATGGATGATGCCGTACAGGGCCGTCCCGAAGAGATTTTAAAGGAGGGGGGGTGATGTGCCTGTTTTTTGCCGACTTAAACCAAAAAAAATTTTTTTGATCGCTAAAAAAAAAAAAAAGAAAAAAAAGATGTTCCTCGTTTTCCGAGTTGCCGATTGGCAACTATAGATCCAATTTTTCCGACTCTAGTTCCAATTTGTCGACCGAAAAAATTTGTAGGGAGCTACACCCTACGCCCCCCTCCCTCGGGACGGCCCTGATCCCGTCCATATGATTTAGTTGTTTATGTTTGCATTTTTTTTCCAAAATTGAATAAGTTTGTGTTTTTCATCTAATTTCCATTATGTAATTCTTGTTCATTGAATGACATTTTTCTAAAATAAAATTTGCCTTGAAATTTGCACGCAAAGAAAAAAGAAAAAATCATATACTTAAGAGCAAGTTACGTTTGCAGTGATCAAAGTAAACTGCAACATATTTTCACTCAACAAGACTGCTCAATTATTCAGCATACTAGTTACAACTCTTAACAGGTGTATCTACGCTATAGATGAAAAAATAGGCAGTTGTTTAAATATGGAATTGTTGCATCAACTCTAGTCGGCAAGTCAAAATTACAAATCGCTTATTCATTTAAAACATCTCAAGCTGAGTTTTAACCATCTTATCTACCAAAATTTGATGGAGTAGGTGATAGTGATTCTGATGCCAGTACCACCACTATCTTCTACATCTTAGCCATTGCATTTTGAATCTTTACCAACCACATCTAATATCACCCGGTGGGAAAAGAGCTAGCGACTAGCGAGCGACTAGCTAGCTTTATAGCAATTTTCAATTTTTAATTTTTCCTATTTTATTTTTTTCTAATGTCTTTAACAGCTTTAAAAATTCGATTTTTAGTGTTGAGTCTATTATATTTATGAAGATAATTGAACTTTAAACATTGCGATTTTGTAGCAATGTGTCGCTAGCTACATATCGTAGCTTGGTAGCTAGCTACAAATTATCAACAAATCTATAGCAGATTGATAGCTACTTATCAAAATCTTTTAGACAACGATTTTTTTACGATATGACGCTAGCTACAATAGCCAGTGGGTCTTTAGCTTATTAAGCTAGCAGTTCTCGTAGCCTAATCGCTGTCTTTATCTTTACAAATATCGCTAACTTAAAAAGCTAGCGATCCTCGTGGCCAAATCGCTGTCTTTATCGTTACGGTTATAGCTAGCTATTCGCTAGCCGATTTCCCACCGGGCACCTTCAATACTATAGTAATTCCGGTTAATTAATTAATATATATATATATATATATATATATATATATATATATATATATATATATATATATATATATATATATATATATATATATATATATATATATAAATTCCATAATATGTCACATGGTGACATATTGTGGTGACAATATATTACATGGTGGTATAATGTTAAAGATGCCACAACATGTCACATGGTGGAGGTGGCAGTCTCTTAAAACGCTTCAAAAAGTGTCACGTATAATTTGAATCACCCCTTAAAGGTGTTATTTATTTTTTGTTCATTTTTACAACATTGAAGCAGGTGCATAAAAAATCAAACCCTAGTCAACATTTTATTCGTACTCTTTTTTCTAAAAGACAGCACATATTTTAAATACTGCGCATATTTTAAATACTGCACATTTTTTTGAAAAAGGTTCAAATTAACCACTCATATATAGAAAACACTTTCAACTCTTGACTAGAATTTTTTTCAATCACTTTCAACTCTTGTTTCAATTCTTAAAAAAAAAAATTTAAAGAGTTGACGATAATTGACATTTTAAAAAATGTATACTATAGTTGAATTTACAATTTATAGTTGAAATAACATACTCCAACAACAATAAGGTAGTTTTCAGCTTATTTGATTCGATTCGTTTAAAACACGATTATACAGGGCTTTAATGTATATAATTATTTCCACTTTGTTCACTTAGTAAGCATAAAAGATTTTTAAAATAAGTTTTTTTAAACTTTTTAAAACTATTTCTTGTTTCAAGTAAAACATGATACTTTACTAAATACTCTTATTATAATTAACATTAATTTTATTCAAATTTCATAAATAAAATAGTAATAAATGCATTTAAAATAATAAAAGTATTAACTAATGCGTTTAATTTATGACGTTTTATCTATTTATAGTTTATGGAGTAGGTCTCTTGAGTATACTTTGAAAGTTATGTAAAGAAAGCAGGCTGAGAGAAATGGAATGTTTTTGTTATTACTAATAGTTTGTTATTACAACATCTAGGTTTCTTGCCTTAATGCTATGCAGATATCTCGATGCAAATACTTTTTTTGTTTTGTTTTTTATAATGCATTAAAGCACTTTACTTTTTTTATTCTTCTTCAACCTCACAGCCTCTTCCATTTTTATCCTAACAAGTTTGATTTCAATAAGTAAAAGTTAATGTTGAAAAGAAAAACCTATAAAAAAACTGTTTATATTAAATGGTGTTAAGTTTAGAGGGCTAATCTACATCGACCTCTTCACTGCGTATAAGTAATAAAACTTGTTTGCTTTAACAAAATCATTAAAATTAATTTTATGCTGTGATTTTCAATAAGTTAAAAAAAAAATCAAAATGTTAATCTCATTGATTTTTTTTTTAAAATACAGCGAACTGAAGGAACTTTAATTTGGATGTAAAATGTAACTTTTAAAAATTAGCACTTGTCTTATATTTTTTTTTAAATATTATAATTTTTATTATATTATTACAATATTAGACTTCTTTAATGCTGACAAATTAATTAATAAAAGCTTACTAGTTTTGTTATTTTAATTAGTTATTCATTTCTTCATTGATTTTGTTGGAAATAAAAAAAAATGTTATTGTTATAAGTTTTTTATTTTTTTGATAAAGATTTTGGTTGCGTTAGATTTTAGTTGAAACTTTTAGCGATTTTATTGGTATGATGTAACTTTTTTTATATAGTGTTTTTTTGTCTTGATGTGATATTTTGGTGGAAATAGTAAAAGTCATTTGTTGTTGTTGTTGTTTGTCTTGTTAAAGCCGTTTTTCATACCATTAAATGGTCTCATTTTAAAATTTAGCATTAAAAAAATATTTACTTAAGACCAATTCAAGATAATTCCTTTAATCTGAAAATCAAATTTTTCAATGCGACAAAAACAAAATGAAAAAAGAGGCCGGGCATCCGTAGCGTTAATGAAATAAACCAATATTTTTGATGAAGGTGCTAAAGGTTTCTTATAAATGAACCAAATTTAAATATATTTTTTAAATTTATTTAGCTTATGTTTAGCAATAACAAGTATCTTTACTTTTTGTATCGGAATTTTTAAAACATCAATAGTTTTTTTTTTTTTTTTAATATTTCATTTTAAATAGATAGAAATCATCTAATATATATCAAAATTAGTAGAAAACACAAAAGTTTGATTTTGTTTTTTAAACCTTCATTATCATTTTTTCATTATTCAAAAGAATAATAATATTCAATGCTAAAATCTTCTTTTGTATGCTATTTGAAAATGCCTCTTTCAAATCACCTTATGCAATCTACTCTTTTCAAAACATCCCCTTTCAAAACGTCTTCTTTCAAAACATATCCCTTTTTCAAATAGTTAGCTTAATGACGTCAAGGTAAACAAAAGTTACGGAAATCAACTGAATTTGAGACTGAGAAAAGATGAATATATTTTTAGAGGAATTTATAAATGGTTGCTGTGTTAGTAAACAAAATAAAAGTCGGAAAATGTTTTCCGTTTACTTCAACATTTTGAGAAGATGACACTTAAAATGGTTAATAAAGAAGTTTTCCCTCACGTTTTTTATTTTTTAAATTTGTTAAAATTTGCTACATTATGAAACTTTTCATTAAATATGTGTATATATATATATATATATATATATATATATATATATATATATATATATATATATATATATATATATATATATATATATACATATATATATATATATATATATATATATATATATATATATATATATATATATATATATATATATATATATATATATATATATATATATATATATATATATATATATATACCTGTGTGTGTGTATTTAAACAGGTTTGACAAGTTATGAATTAAATATTTAAAAAACATTATTTGCCATATAAAAATGATTTGAAATTAAAAGAAACAATTCGGTGATATGAAAGAAATTGTTGTAAAACTAGCTCTTAAAACACTCAAATTAATTTATTGAGTTTATACTTTGTTTAACCTGTTGTTATTTTTTTCTTTGAACATTAACAAAATAATGGTGGCAATAATACTGAAAATATTCTCATAATAAAATTTTATCAAAATTTGAAAATTTTTCCATTTAATCTATGTATTAATACTATGTATGTATTATACAACTTTTATTAATAACAGTTAATAAATAAATAAATTAAAAAAAGTAATTATTTAAAAAGATTATTATAAATAGTTCAAAAATAGTATCAACTTAATCTAATAAATTTTAGTTTCATTAAATTGATTAATTTTTATTTTCTTGTTTTATATTTCTAAACTTATATTTTGTATTTCTATTATTATAGTTCATTTATAAAGTAATTTCGTTTATAAAAATTATCAAGCATTTATTAAAAGCATTAACATAAAAGCATTTAAACAAATTATACAAGACATCCTAATTTTCAATTATTTAAGTTTATTATTACTGTTATATATCACTCAACTTACTGTTATTTGAATTTTAAATATTATAAAGCTGGAGAAAAATATATTTAAAAACAAAGATAAAACAAATGGCTTACTTGTATCAAACTTAAACTAACGAGAAAAGTTGCTACAAAATTCATTTTCAATTTTTTGATTATCAATTCATTTGCTTGCGATGATTTTAACGTGCAATTACCAGGTTCTAGGTTCTAATGGTAGCGAATGATGTCATTTCATAAATATTTGGCGGAATTTAACGTATTGGTGATACTCAACTTTTTGAATATGTTGAACTTATGTTCTGGTAATGTAAATCTATTCGGTACGCTTCGAAGATGGCAAATATCATTAAGATTACGAAAGTGATTTGTAAATTATTTACGACAATTATTTTAGTTATTTTCAATGGCTTGCTGTTTGTTTTGTATCCGACTAATAGTATTGGTGCATTTGTTATACGATTCCAAACTTATTTTGTTTAAAGCAATAAAATGACTTTTATTTCAGCGGGTGGAAAAGACATCAATGCGTTATATAAAGTTTTAATTTAAAAAGCGTTGTTTTTTTGTTAAATTCAAAATCGTACATACATTTACGTTTTTAAAACAATGTTTACATTAAAAATTGTTTGAAAAAAAAAAATTATTATTTTCTAGTTTTATAACTAATGTTTCAAGAAAGTCAAATGCATAAAGGTTTAATAACTTAATTAGAAAGAGGTGATATAAAAATATTGGGTTAAGTACTGGGTGCTGATATTTTTTCAAAAACAGAGGTGTTGGGAGGTTATGTACTATGTAACAAAAAAACTTAGGGCAAATAATGGGTTAAATTAAAAATTCTAAACTTCACAATTTTGAGTAAAAAATTTAGAATTTCTTTTTAAAATAATTTTAATTTTAATTTATTGTATTCCTAAATTGCAGAAGTTAAAGGAAAAAAAGAAATGTTTTGAACTAAATTCTTGTTGTTTCTGTATGTAAAAGGGTTTTAAACAAAGTTGTATTATTATTATTTGTTTTTGTTTTTGTTGTTGTTGTTGTAGAAAAATTGCAAACTAGAAACTTAAATAGAAAAATTGTGTATTTATTTTATATAAATATAATTTACAGACATTTTTTTCTATTTCGATAAAAGATATTATACAACAAAAATATTCCGCTTCTACGTATAACTATCATTAACCATAATGTGTTTTATAGAGCCTGTTCTCACAAGCATAGTTTTTGTTCATTGTTATATATAAAAATGAAAATAGATTTACTTTTTTTACAATTAATTTCTTGATTTTGCATTTTTATGAGTGGGGATAGCGGGTCGCACCGGGTGACACCATTACAACGTGACACAGAGGGATCACACCAAAATGAATGAAAAGCAAATATGCCAGAACTTTTTTTTCTAAAAGACCTTTTTTTTACGGAAATTTCTAGAGGTAGAGAACTTTTTTTAGTTACACCGTTAATCAGTAAATCTAGAAAAGTGACACCGAATGTTTACCTCTCTGGGCGACACTAACTTTAGCAAAGCAACTATTGCAATCAATAATTAGCTCTTCGTTGTTGTTGGTTTTGTCAAAATCAAATATCGATAATTAGGCCACTTTATAGTACTCATTTCTTATCCTTAAATATTTTAGTATTTTAACCGCCGCATTGTTTCTTATACAAATGCCATATAGCCCCAAAATAGCAATATTACCGATGTAAATTTTGTAATAATAAAGTTTGAAAGTGCAAATGAATAACTTTTTATTAACATAAATCTTATTTTTTTATACATAACTAAAGTTTTCGTTAATTTAGCTAGTAATTTAAAAACAAAGTTAATTTACATAATAATGTCAATTATTGTTAAAGCCAATTAATTACACAATTAAAACCAGTTAAATTATTTGATTAATCTTGTTAATTAAAAAGAAAAAAGTCCAACTATATTCAGAATTTAATTTTAAGGTTTTATTTTAAGGTAAAATAAAATATATTCCGTTGTAAAAAAGATTTAAAAGATATGAAAACCGAATCTGTTAAAAAAATGATAGTATCTTTATGAAACTGTTAGAAAATAAACACTTAATTAAAATATTTATTCAAATTCTGAATGAGTAAATCTTACTCATTCTGAAAATATTATTTTTTTTAAAATCTAAAATTGCATTTATTTATAATTTCAACTTGGAAAATATCCCGAATATTATTAGATAATATTGTAACCGCTATTCGGTCACATATTTTTACTAAATTTATTCTACAAGCTATAATAAATTCTGAATGAGTAAATTTTACTCATTCTGAAAGTATTTAGATTTTTGATTTTTAAAAATATAAATTTTAAAAAAATATCCGGAACATTATTATGTCCAAAGTATTATTGTAACCGCTATTCGGTAGTTTTTATCAGTTCTACCTACTGTAACAAAATCAATAGCTAACAATGTTTAACAATTTTTATTCACCCCTTTAATTTTTGTAACTATAGATACAAAATTTCAAACAATATGCTATGTTAAACATCGGACTATCGGGGTATCAATATAATACGTCATTTAATAGTTATATCGATTAGGACAGTATAAACTGATATTCAAAGAAAAAATTTTAAATTGCATATTTGAAAAAAGACTAATAACTGAAAGACTTAAGTAAAGATGTTCAGCTGAAATCAAAGATAAATAAAACTAAATAAAAAAGAAAAGATCCTCTTTTCCTGCGTAGTTTCAAAAATTTTTTTTTTCTAAGAAACTCAAATGAACTTAACAATGTTGCCATACTTTTGAATCCTTTTTAATAGGTGTTCATATACTTAGACTTATATGCAATATAAGTCCAAGTATATGGACATCTATTAAAAAAGATTCAAAAATTTAATAAATATACAGAATACAGTGTTGATATGCAATACTGTATTCCGTATATTTATTAAATTTTCTACACAGTATGTTTGTGTTACTTAAGTTTGCTAGACAATATTTTTCATTTATATCTATTTCAAACTTGTTATTAAGGAAACTATTTTTAAATTGATACATAAAAACTCAACAATGTTTGTTATTTATTTCAAATACATCTATTACTTTTTAACCTTTTATTAAAGTTTTAAAAAATTCACGTTTCTCTTAAAAGTAAATACCTTGCAAACATTGTTAAAGTGGATTTGCACCTTTATAGTCATTTTGAGCGGGTCATTGGAAATTTCCTCAATGGTTACTTAATGGGTCATTAGTGGCGTCCATTATTAGTGGCCAGCCAATAACTTTCTAAAATCTGAAATAGTGGTCCGTCATTGGCTTATCTCTTTTTTGCGGCTGGCACTAATTGTCCACTAAGTCACCAATGAGAATAATTATTGTGCGGCCGTGGCGCAGTGGTTAGACCGCTTGCTTTGTAAGAAGGTTCCAAACGAAATCCAGGTTCGAAACGAGCTTTGGACATATTTTGCGTCACGGTAAGGAAGGAGACGTGAACTTTCTGGTTAAATGCGCTTCCGCGGTGCACTGTGACAAGACCGTTAGGACTTCTTGGGGCACCTAAATAACAAATTAAAAAAAAAAAAAAAAAAAACTACAGTAGACCGCTTAAAATGCGTATATAAGTCCTCTGAAATTCCGCTATAGAATGTTTGCTGGGTAATTCTGCAAACATGTTTCTGTAAGCTATAAAAATATTTTTATAGCTTACAGAACTTTTATACAAAATTTTTTATAGCTTACAGAATTTTTTACAAAATATTTTTATAGCTTACATTTAATTTTTTTCATGGTTGGGTACTTATGTTGATCATATGTTGGCATAATTACCTCAAAGTATATTAGTTTGAAGCTTTGTTTATTGATATATGAACAAAATTAAATACAACAAACAAGCAGTCCTGGTGATTTTAAGTGACTGATTTTATTTGATGAAGCTAAGATTGATGTTTATCAACAAGAACCTTCACTGGCTTGTTTTTTAATTAATGTATCATTTTACTACTACCCTATCGGATCTTAATTAACTTTTTAGAATTAGATCATAAATTGTTTGAAAGTATAAAAATTGCAAGAGTTTTAAAAAATTACTTGTGATGCAACCTTTATAGATAAAAACCAAAACAGGCTCTTATTTAATGAAGTTCTTGCAATTATAACTTTAATAAAGCTGCAAAACATAATTACCAGGATGAGTTAACTGTTTTTCAAAAAAATGTGTGTCCCAAGTCTGTTATATAGTTTCATATATTGTGACAGTTTTTTTTAGTATTTGAATTAAAAAACTTTGTTTTAATAGAGTTTACACTTGTTTTAACAGAGTAATCTATAAACTTGGGTTTATATAAAATAAATATGCTTTGCATAAAATTGAAGGAATTGGAGCCTGGAAAAGAAAATACCCAAAAATAGAGTTCTGAGAATTATATTTTTACAATTCTAAACTAAATTTATGCTGCCGACAGGTTTGAAGTTTCATCTTATAAGTTTAGTGTACAAAAATTATGGTAGCTTTTACTTTAATTTTAGTTAAACTGTAACAAAAACAATAGTTAAACTTTTGACTATATTTTTGTTTGTAAAAGTTAACTTTTTATTGTTATTTGATATATAAGAAAATACAAAGTAGTTTTTATAAAATAATGATCTTATCAGTAAGAACCACTAAACAAAATATGGTTTGTGAAACATGAAAAATTAAGTATACAAATTGTCAATTATAATACAACTTTTAACAATATTCAAATAATTGAATTTACAAATCGCATCTCACATAAATTCAATTATTTGAACATTGTTAAAAGTATATTATTAATTTGAAAAAATATTTCTTTTAGTGTTTTTTTTTAACAAAAAATTTATAATATTTATGCAAAAGATAATTTTTTTTTTTTAAAGTTATACGATTCCGTAGCTTCAAGAAAGGAAATGTAGGGGGTTTTTTTACCCAAATTTTGTTGGGAAATTTGGTGCCTAATAAATCCGTCATTTCTTTATGAACATGTTTTTTGTTTTAAATAATATCAAGAATACAAGCTGGAAATGAACCGGTTTAAATTTTTTTAAATATAAAACAAAGAATATCAAAATATTTACTCGACATATATTCAGAATATTTATTTTAAATAAGCGAGATTTAAGTTAAAAATTATAAGACGTGTAATATGGTTCTATTGATAGATGATTGACTTTAATTTACTTTTGTGAGCACTTTCCCATATTTTTTAAAAAATTTTGAGTTTTTTCAAACATCGCCAGAAAGCCACCTTAAAACATTATTCTTGCGAGGGGGAACAGATTAACTGATTTTTGAAATTTTCTCATACAGAAATTTCAAGTTTCCGGAAATAATAAATATTTTTTTAAAAAAATACACGTTTCAAAATTTGTAAGGATGGGTTGTTGCCGCATAAAGTCAATATAAAAAAATATGCAGATCGTTCGTTATTTTTATTCGGAATATAGAT